TGAACCCAACTGGGACCATCCCCTGAAGCCAACCAGGACCATCTCCTGAACCCACCAGGACCATCCCCTGAACCCAGCTGGAATCAGGACCATCCCCTGAACCCACCCGTCCGGGTGTCCCCTGCACCCAAGTTCCTCCAGATCCCCCAGCCTTGCGTGTCCCCCCACCGGTACCTTCGCTCCACGGTGGAGCTGAGGCGGACGGAGACGGGGACGGGGGTGCCATCCCGGATGGCCGTGAGGATGGTGGGCAGTGGCTCCAGCTCCTCCTGCGTGGCCTGTCGGGGCAAGACAGAGCTGTTTTGGGGACGGCGGGTGGCCATGGGGCAGGTGCCATCTCTGGCAGTGGGTGCCCAGCTCTGCACACGAGGAGAAGGAACCGGCTGGGCTCTCTGGCCACCCCTGAGGACATGTGGCATCAAGTGGCACCTGGTCGAGGCTGGAGAAAATGTCACAGAGCAGGAGGTGGAGAGTGGCGAGCTCCAGGGCCAGGTCCACGTAGCCGTCATAGGTGGCCATGCTGGCGCTGCTCTCGGGGTTGGCCACGCTCTGCAGGAAGGTTCTCATGACGCTCCAGTTGTCCTCCAGGAACCCATTCATGAAGCCCATGTAGGCCTCCTTCTCGCCAAACCTGGGGACCACGGTGTTTGGTCACCCACAGACCAGGCCACCAAGGTGAGCACCACCGTGACCGTGGGCCCAACCCCGCTAGGACCAGGACCGTCCCCTGAACCCACCAGGACCATCCCTTGAACATAGCTGGGACCAGGACCATCCCCAGAACCCATCAGGACCATCCCTTGAACCCTCCCATGACCACAGCCCAGTACATTGCCACGTCCTTGGATCTGTCACCACCATGCCCATGGGCCAGGCCACAGCAAGCCATACATGAGGCTCTGCTGGTGCCAACCTCATGCGTGAGGAAGTCCTCTGTTGCCCCATGGACAATTCATGGTATGCAGGGGACATCCCTGCTGCCCCATGGTGTGAAGGGGACATTCCTGCAGCCTGATGACATGTGCTGGAAGTCCCTCCTGCCCCATGGCCAGTCCTTGGTGTGTAGGACACATCCCTCCTGCCCCATGGGATGTAGGGGACATCCCTACTGTCCCCTGCTGCATAGGGGAGGTCCCTACTGCTCCATGGGGTGTAGAGGACACTTTTGCTGCCCCATGGCACGTAGGGGACATCTCTAGCACCTCATGGGGCATAGGAGAAGTCCCCCATGCTCCATGGCACATTAGGGACATCTCATCTGCCCCGTGGCACATCGGGGACATCCTTGCTGTCCCATGATGCTCTATGGGGTGACCAGCCCCACTAAAGCAAGCCCATCAGGTGCCACCTCCCCAGCAGCTGTCACCTCCCCGTGACAGCGCCATGCTGGGACCTACGTGGTGAAGTTGGCCAGGTTCTGGATGACCTTGGCCACCAGGGTGAGGGTGCGAGCGGTGGCCTCGCTGGGGTACTCCTGGACGAGGCCGAAGAGGCTGGGCGACATGACGGCGGGGCACAGGAACCGCAGGAAGAGCGAGGCCGACACCAGGCGCTGCCCGATGGCCTCCTTGCCCCGCGCCGCGCACTCCTCCTGCCACGCCGCGAAGATCTCGCCCAGCTCCGCTGGGAAGGCGCTGCGGGGAGCCGTGACACGAGGGGTGTCGGGATGGCCGATGTTCCCGTGGACCCTCCGCGCACCACGGTGTCCACCGCACCGCGTGGTGGCCGTGCGCATCCTTGTGGTTCTCCCCATGCCTGTCCCCAAGCTTGTCCCTGGGTCCTTCCCAATGCTGGTACCTGTCCCCATGCCCGTCCCGGTGCTGATGTCCATCCTCAACCCTGTTCTGTGCCCATTCTAGTCGTCCCAGGCCCATCCTGGTGCCACTGTCCATCCCCATGACCAACCACCACCAATGTTCACCCCCAACACCATTCCCATTCCTGTCCCACTGCTTGTCCCCATGCATGCCCATGTCCGAGGTGGCCCTGCTGCCCCCTGGCCAGGCCTTGGCACATAGAGGACGACCCCATGCCCATTCTGGTGCCAGGACCCATCTCCATCATCATCATCCCAGTGCCAGCCTCCAAGCTTGTCCCCATGTCCGTCCCATCGCCCGTGCCAATGCCATCCCCACGTCCGTCCCCAAGGCTGTCCCCATGCCGGTGTGACGCAGCCCTCACTCGCAGGACGTGGCGATGCGCTGGAAGGTCTCCTCGCAGACCTGCCGCAGGTTGTTCTGGTTGTCGGAGAGGTCGAGGCCGGCGCATTTGCTGGGATCGACCTCGCAGGAGTCATCCGAGGTGCAGAGCTGGGCCACGGCCTCCCCTGGGCACCAGGACATTGAGGACATTGTCTGGCCACCACCATGGGCTACATCCCCATGGATGTCCTTCACCCCCATAGCTCAACATGTCCTGCACCTCATAAAATCCTGTAGCATCTCCTAACACCCTGACCATGGCCAACATGTCCTACAGCCCCCACAACATCTCCTATTGCCCCGTAATTCCCCTCCAAAAAACGTACCTAGTGTGTCCTGGAGGTACTTGCCCCCCACCAGTTTCATGTACTCGTCGATGGCCTTGGTGGCCAGCGTGTTCTCACGGAAGATGAGCGCCTCGCGGTCGTCGAAGCGGTCCAGCTCAGCCACGCCGAGGTCAATGAGGAAGGCCTATGAGGATGGATGGCATCTGTGGGCTCGGAGGACAGCCGGAGTCCCCAAACCACCTTGCCCAACCTGGTCTGGACAGTTTCTGGCTCTACTGGGACCTCCTGGATTGCCTTTCGTGTCCTATCCCAGCCTATTACCTCTCATCACATCCCATCTCCACCTGGCTTCCATGACTCGCCCATGCCATGTCAACCCATCCCACCCCATCCCAAACCCGTCTGGGCAGTTCTGGCTCTTCTGACACCCCTCAAATCACTTTTCCCATCTCATCCCATCCCCACTTGAGCAGTACCCAACTCTCTTGGCATCCAAGACTCATCCATCCCATGCTAACTCACTCAATGCCCATCTCACCCCCCAACCAAGTGGATGCCACCTTGGGAAATGTCCATCTCATCCCAATCCACCATGCCCATGCCACCTTGGGTAATGTCCATCTCAACCCAATCCTACCACGTCCATCTCAGCCTGGGCAATGCCCATCTCACCCCAACCCCACCATGCCCATGCCACCTTGGGCAATGCTCATCTCATCCTGGGCAATGCCCATCTCACTCCAACCCCACCATGCCCATGCCACCTTGGGCAATGCCCATCTTGCCCCAACCCCACAATGTCCATCTCACCTTGGGTAATGCCCATCTCAACCCAACCTCACCATGCCCATGCCACCTTGGGAAAGATCCATCTCACCCTGGGCAATGCCCATCTCACCCCAACCCCACAATGTCCATCTCACCTTGGGTAATGCCCATCTCAACCCAACCCCACCATGCCCATGCCACCTTGGGAAAGATCCATCTCACCCTGGGCAATGCCCATCTCACCCCAACCCCACAATGTCCATCTCACCTTGGGTAATGCCCATCTCAACCCAACCCCACCATGCCCATGCCACCTTGGGAAAGATCCATCTCACCCTGGGCAATGCCCATCTCACCCCAACCCCACCA